GCCAGTATGGCAACAAAAATTCTATGTTTTTTTTAAGCATTTAACTAGATGTTTAAATCTAAAAAACGCGGACCAGGCAGCAGGCGGGACCTGATCCCGCACCCTTCGCTATCCGGGCGAATGCACTGACCATTATGCTACCGCGGCCCTGACGGCCGCGTCGAAATTTCTCTAGCCTTAGGCTGCTAGGACATTGTGGGTTACCTACAATGCGAAGAGACTTTAAGAATTTACAGAAGTAAAGAACTTCTATTCATGTCTTTTATTTTTAACATCTATTGCATTAAGTTTCCATAACTAGACTACTTAATGTTTATAACTAGGGATGCAACGATATCGATAGGATAATCGTATATCGGCAATTATTCTCAGTTTTAACTATCATTCGTTATCAGAAACATTAGAATACGATAAATACGATCCATTATTTTCCAATATTTTTACATTTTTACAGTAGTTACTACAGTTTCGAGTGAAATCGTAAATGCAAATCTTAAATGACCCGGGCCTCATATTTCCAAATACACCCCTGCATGCATATATGTGTTAATAGCGATAGGGCACTACAGAAAAGTGCAGTCAAATAAAGCTATAGTGTATAGTGTTAATTCTGCAAAACAGATAAGTAATACTATAACGCATATTAACAATATCATGGTGGTATGTACAATGAATTTGATCCAAATAAATTATTTATTATTATAGTGCTGTGTTCCTACAGAGGGTAAATTTGACAGCGCTCCACGGGGCAGGCAAAAAAAGGGCTAAGGCTGATAGATGACTCATATGATCACTACACCCATGGAACTACTGATGGGAAACAATCATCTCACTTGTCTATTCATGAGACTCGACCAATGGGCTAATGAGAGAGAGATAAACCTTTGCTGCATCAATTATATTCATAACTTTCACCCTTATGTTTTCGAAGTTCCTCCCATTCGCACGAAGCGATTTGTTTCCGCTTTCATAATGCGAACGGCTAGGGAGTGGAACTCCTTGCCGAGGTCTGTTTTCCCTAATATCTATATATAATCTGGGCATCTTCAAGGCCAGAGTGAACAGGCATCTTCTAGGCAGGCGTGTACCATCTTAGTCCTCATCATCGCTTTCCAGCAGGTGTGATTTTGGTCAAAGGCTTTTGCCTATTAAGCATTAAAAAAAACTTGATACATTTTTTTTGAATAAAATTTTAATCAAACTACATTTGTGAGCGTCTGATCAAGAGATTTCCCACACCGGCCAAAGTAAAAGCCAAAATGACCATAAAATCTCACAGCTCTATTTGTCAAATGCGTATTTTTATACGCTCGGTGTTTTCTTCCGCAATTGAAAATCTCGATCAGTGGGTACTTTTCTAACCGGTTTAGAAAACGCGAGCTGTGCTTACCTACACCCAACACGCAACATTGTAACAACGTTTATGTGGGTGCATAAGTGTCAAAATCGCGTGAACATGAGTTAGTATTGCACGCGATTGCAATTGGTGGGGCGACAGATCAGACTTCCACTTGCACCTACTCTTGGCTCCGTATATAGACCACATGTTGTCGCTGTCACCCCATAAGCTAACATTTGCCCTAATATAGAGTGTCCAGTTTTAAAACCACTGTTTTCCCTGTAACCTACTTTTATATGTACTGAATATTGAACAGTCATTGAATTCGAAAAGTGTATAGTGTAGATACTTAAAGAAAAAATTAAAAAGGAATAGAAACACTAAGTACAATTCGGTCAATTAAGTTAATTAATGGATTAAAGCGCTAAGCGCTATGTTATACTTTATGTTTCACAAATGGATCAATCCATGAAGTTACTTAATTAATAGTCCATTAGATATACTTAGTCTCTAATGTTGTATAGATAATGGTACGGAACCCTTCCTGCACGAGTCCGACTCGCATTGACAGGTTTTTTTCAGTCTCTTAAGAATGTTAAAATTTGAGATTGCTTACAAAAATCACGGAGTATTGTTTTTTTATTACGAAAATAATAAAATTCAATTCATAAAAATCCTAAGTCCAAAAAAATCACCAAGTCAACGTTCTATTTATAAGAAATCGGTAATTCTATTAATGCAATGTTTTTTCATAACGATTTTATCGTTATAAAAAGTTTTACAATGTACGAATTAATGTAAGCTAACTTGCCTGGAATATTTAAATGCCGTAGTCACATTTAAAAGAATATTTAAGCCTGAGTTTTCCATCATATTGTCAGGATGTGAGGCCGTTTATCACACTAATATTATATTATATTATATTGTTAATATTATAAAGGCGAAAGTTTGTGAGTGTGTATGTTTGTTACTTCTTCACGTCTGAACGGCTGGAGCGATTTTAATCAAATTTGGTATGGAGTTAGCTGACACTCTGGATTAACACATAGGCTACCTTTTACTGCGGAAAAATATCCCTAATAATCCGCGGGGCACACTAGTATTATATAGAATCGGTTACAGTAGGTGAATTTATGAAATGCCTGATGACTGCTTTGTTGAACCCATGACTGCTGCATCTTCTATAGGTATGGAGTCCCTTTGTTATAAGCTGAGACTCCATGTGCAGATGTTTAAGAAATATTAATTAGTGATAAGAATCATTTGCACGTGTACTAAAGCCTGAAAAACTGCGTCATTGCTAAGTTATCGACTACTCAAAACTTTTTTTTTTAATAAAAAAAAAAAATGGTTGCCTGTAAAGTCGGTTTTACGGGCGAAGATTTTACGTGACAACGTCTTTTTCTCGGTAGAATATTTATTGATATGAATATAATTAAATTGCACAATAGGAACAAGGAATTGAATGAAAATAAGAATTGCACAAATTTTAACTATAGAAATATATTTTGTTTACTAAAACATTGTACATGTAAACTTAAACTTAACACGAGAGACTCATCGTAACGTTACCGAGCGTTACACTTTTTCATAAGTGACTCCCAGCCGCAACCTAATTTAAGACGTTGTCACGTCAAAAACGTTCTATACGCAAGTTTTAGGGAATTTAATGACGAATAACTTATATGCGACGTTATTTAACAATTAATGACATTTTTAAAGTTTTGAGGTTCAAATAAACTTTTTCAATACAAAAAAAAAAATGGTTGCCTGTAAAGTCGGTTTTACGGGCGAAGATTTTACGTGACAACGTCTTTTTCTCGGTAGAATATTTATTGATATGAATATAATTAAATTGCACAATAGGAACAAGGAATTGAATGAAAATAAGAATTGCACAAATTTTAACTATAGAAATATATTTTGTTTACTAAAACATTGTACATGTAAACTTAAACTTAACACGAGAGACTCATCGTAACGTTACCGAGCGTTACACTTTTTCATAAGTGACTCCCAGCCGCAACCTAATTTAAGACGTTGTCACGTCAAAACGCCAAAAAGTAAAAAAAACTAGTATGGTAAAATTTTGCTTTTCGATCAAGTATAACCGCGATCTCTGATTCTTGGGCTACTGGTTAAGAACTTTATTAGTTAAACCGTAACCATGGCGTAACAGACATTACGTCATTGAAGCAGATTTATTACTGAGAAAAAAAACTTTGTTATAATGTTATTGTTACTGCACGTAAGTGAATTGTCGCTGCAGCTAGATGACCATAGTGCCAATCAGAACTTTTGACGTGACAACGTCTTAAATTAGGTTGCGGCTGGGAGTCACTTATGAAAAAGTGTAACGCTCGGTAACGTTACGATGAGTCTCTCGTGTTAAGTTTAAGTTTACATGTACAATGTTTTAGTAAACAAAATATATTTCTATAGTTAAAATTTGTGCAATTCTTATTTTCATTCAATTCCTTGTTCCTATTGTGCAATTTAATTATATTCATATCAATAAATATTCTACCGAGAAAAAGACGTTGTCACGTAAAATCTTCGCCCGTAAAACCGACTTTACAGGCAACCATTTTTTTTTACTGTTGAGAAGATTTTAGTAATTTCAGTAAAAGATATCATATTGACTATGGTGTAACAACGGTGCGTTGTCAATTTATAAATTCGTAGAATAAAATTTGGTGCGGTAACCAAATTTTATTCTACGAAGTTTATAAATATATATAGGTATATATATATTCGCATCGCAGGAACTTGTCAGCCGTATTGGGCAGGTTTCATAAATAGTCACATGGCTCACAAAAAGATTGTTGTACTGCTGTTATTGTTAAATAGATATATAAGAAAAACATTTTAGGTTCATCCGATTATGAACGCTGGTGGGAAATAAGTATTTTGCTCGAAAATACGTCTTCGAAATTTTAAAGACACTTCCATGCATCTTGTTTGATAAATTTATTTTTATAGTGTTTCTGCTTCATATTTTTAAATAAGTAAACCTATTTTAGATGTTTTACATAAATGTCGTTAATGTCCACCAGACCACTGTATGATATTTCAATCAAGGGCCCGTATGGTCTCACCGATTTTACCTACTGCTCATATACCACGGTGTACCAATAGAATAAGGCCATAAATATTGAACCGATAAATATCTATGTATATATAAACAAGAAATATTAATATATATTTCTATTACAATAATATTCACCCACTATAAAATTATTAGACAATATAATACACGATTTTAAAACGTGCAAGAATACCTAAAACAAAATAGTCTCAAAATTATATACAAAAGATCTGGCATAACGTAGGCAGCTCGCTAGAAAACTGCAACTGTCGTGAAAGTAGCTTCGGAACTCATCTAAGCAGTATGATTGCGCTGATTAATATTATAATTGCTTGCGCGGCTATCCATCAGTGTAGAAAGTCGGTAAGAATACTCACGCGCAGCTTCGAGATGTTGCGCCCGCGCCTAGCGCCTGCACGCGTTCAATGGCGTGAAGTAGACTGAGACGCGAATCAGGAATGTTATGTTCACTAACTAAAATACCACTAGCTCTAATAAATTTCTATAATATCCCACTAAAAGTTTATATAGAATTTGGCTTTTGAGTCTGATTGTGCTTTTTTTAATTTACAGGATTCAACATGTGAGCCCCCCGTGGATTCGGCATCGTTACCACTGGAACATCGAGGGGGCGGCGGTTATGGACCACCCCTACCACCTGCACACTCAGACGACCCATGGCCTCTTGCGACACCAGACAGCCCCAAAATAAAACATCTCCAAGTGCAATGCGAAAAGACACACATGCGGGTCAACATCGAATTCGACCGTCCTTTCTACGGCATGATATTCTCGAAAGGATTCTATAGTGACCCCCATTGTATGCACCTTAAACCTGGCACGGGGCATCTAAGTGCAACCTTTGAAATTTTTCTCAACAGCTGCGGCATGTCGAGCTCGGCCAATCACAATGTAGCCACTTATGGAAGTCCAACGCCCAGCGGCTCATACGTTGAAAATACTATCATTGTTCAATACGACCCTTACGTTCAAGAAGTATGGGATCAAGCACGAAAATTGCGATGCACGTGGTACGACTTCTACGAAAAAGCAGTTACTTTCAGACCTTTCCAAGTGGATATGTTGCATGCGGTTACGGCTAACTTTCTCGGTGACAACTTGCAATGCTGGATGCAAATACAGGTCGGTAAAGGCCCTTGGGCCTCAGAAGTATCAGGAATTGTAAAAATAGGGCAAACGATGACAATGGTGCTTGCAATTAAGGACGACGAAAATAAGTTTGATATGTTAGTCCGTAACTGTGTAGCTCACGACGGCAAAAGGGCACCGATACAATTGGTCGACCAGTATGGATGCGTAGTCCGACCCAAGATTATGAGCAAGTTCCAGAAAATAAAGAACTTCGGTCCTTCTGCATCGGTGGTATCTTTCGCTTACTTCCAAGCTTTTAAGTTCCCTGACTCAATGAATGTTCACTTCCAGTGCGTAATCCAAGTATGCAGATACAACTGTCCTGAACCGAAATGCAACCTTGGTGCAGATTATGGTGTTCCTCTTCTTGGTGGAAATTCATTAAGTGCAGGAGAATATGGCGTACCAAACTCACCACATGCAGAATATGGACCACCACCTGCTCCACACTCTGAGTATGGCGTACCACCAGCGTTCCCTGACCCGCGTCATCCAGCAGACGCCACTGGATCGTTTTCGGAAAAGCGTGATGACGCCGTACCTCCTCCACAAGCACAGGTTTCTTCGACACCTAATGCACCTAGTCCATCATCACCAGCCCCCGCTCGGGAAGAAGACGAGGTGAATCTTCCACCTCCACCGCCTCCTGGCCGCCGTGGAGTATATAACACCGTCAAAAGGAAAGATGAAGTCCACGGCAATCTCGCGACTTTAGGAGGACGTCCACGCTCAGTGGAGGACTTACCAGAAAGACTCGTAGGCGTAAGGAGGCGGCGAGAGACATCCACACCTACGCGCATCTACAAGCGTGACGCACAAGAGATGACCGACGTAAACACAAGTCGAATCATCCAAGTGGTCGCCCCGGGCGATGTTAATTTCGCATTGAACAATGCTGCAGGCAACGAGACGGTGGTTATACAGTCTCCAGCGACGGATCCGGAGACGATATGTATGTCAGTACCGTCTTTCGTTGCGGGCCTGGTGATGTTACTATTAGTCTTGGTGGTGTCTTCGTTGGTGGCTGCGTTCTTGTTCGTGCGAGTGCGAGCGCTCGACAGGAAGGGCGCACACGGAGCGGCGGCGTACTACGAAACGGATTACGTGAAGCACACAAACTAGACGCAGAGCGTGCGAGTGTGACGCGAGGACGTTCCAAAAACTCTTCTCGGATCCAAAGAGCGTGCGCGCTTCGGCCCCGGCCGGACGGCGCCGCCGCTGTCGCGGTCGCGATCGAAGCAAGGTGACATGTGACTTATTTATTTAGTAATTTAGTGAGTGTGATGTATATGTTCGACTGTTGTTTTGTAAATTATTTTATTCGTGTGAAAAGCACTCCCTGTACTGCCTTTATAGTCGATACGTCTGTTGTAATTTTGTAAAGAGTCGTAAGTAAGGTAATAGAGATAAGGAAGTTGTATACCAATTAAAAAGTGTCGCGTGAGTAAAATGCCTTTGTTTTTCACTTTAGACTTCTATAAGGATTATTCTTTTGTGTCAAGCCATATAAAAGCTTTCTCCTGGCGCCACCGTCAATAAGATTTTATCAAATTTTAAACACCTTAGAAAGACTGCACTGCAAGCAAAAGTGTGAGAAGCATTAAGGCATTGTATACAATGTGTAGCAAACAAGAAAACTTGTAAGATTCTCCCACGTTTCAGATGAAATATGGTTCATGGGAGAGACAGCAACGCCATGTTGATACCAATTAAACTGTAAGTTTATAAATAAAGGAAAAGTGAGTTTAACTACCGTACTCAAAAACATCAAATAAATATCATAAGTCTCGTGGTCTTACTCCCTTGTTATAGCAAAGAAAGTGACAGCATTAATTTTGATCAAACTTAAGTCGTTAGAATTCTCAGAGTAAGGCCGTAAGTATATATAAGTAGATAGAGGTAACTAAAAAAGCTCTAATACGGTATTTATAAGAATTGATGGACATCTCCGATTTTGTGAGATTTTTCCCTATTTCTACTGAACAGATTTTCCGATTGACAACTTGATTTTGTGGCTGTCCACATCTGTCGACGTTGTGAACGTGGAATGTAAGCGCACAGTTTAACGTTAACTACGACGTCCTGACGTGTAGATGTGGACAGGCACTTACTGTTAGGTTATTGTCAACAAGTACAATAAAGAAATAAGTTTTATTTAACAGATTATTTTTATTGGCTACTTGAAATCTTGGAAGATCTTGGTAATTAATTCCCAGTTTCTTTGCCATTCATGTTTTGTAGGCAAACGATAATATAGAGTTTTTGTAGAAGTCGCCACTTCATTTACGTAGAATTAATGGTTTTCCATTCATAATTTCATCTGTATATTTATTAGCTTATTCGAATTCTTTTTAGGACAAAATGTGATCTGATGCTTGGTCCTTTTTATTTTGATAATAAAATTCATTTATATAGGTTCTAGCATGTAAGTATCGTTAGGCGACGTCCTAATTATCAAAGATCGTACGATGACCCGATATATTCACGTCGTGCGATGATTTTCAAACACAGATTTAGAGTTGCCCTAATACAGCTCGTAAGCCGTCGCACGAGCACAGGTACATTATTTTCGTCGCACGATGAAATCGTATCCTGTTATCGTACGATCGTTACCAGCTAGGATGACGCCTTATGGATAAGAGAAATTTGAATGACACTAATATTTTAATAAGAGATCTGTAGAGTTGCAAATATAACGAATGGGAAATCTGTCGAGTTAAAATTAAGTGGATTTAATCAAGTACTTTTAATCAAAAACGACGTATATAATTCAAATTAATAAGTTTATTTCCATCTATCTACATGGATAATAACTAAGACTTAATGAATATAAATATAAATGTTTCATAATAACAAAACATTAATAATACCGAGAACGAGTATATAGAAAGTATCTAAGAAGTTGTTGGTAAGGTCTAACAAATTGTTTATAATAAATGTGTTGGGAAAATGTTAGCTTAAAATAAATATGGCTTAAGCGTCCATTGTGAGCAATCATTAGGAGGAATTATGCCAAAGTTTCATCTCCAAGGTCGGATTTTCTTAACTATATCAGTTGTATGATTTAACTGCCCATGGCCAGTACGTAAAAGATTCATAACTGAGGGACTTTCTTCTCTAGGCGGACTCTTGTATAGCAATTTTAGCTGCTTATCGCTCCTCTTCGCGATTATATCGACGAGATCCTAAAATTAAAAACAAAATATTTAGAGCCTGATAGGCGTAAGAAGTTATCAATATTCAGTTAACTTTTAGTCTAGGGGAGACTGAATAAAAGCATTGGGCAGAAACTTCTCGATACATCAGGTTGTCGAGTTTAAGACATTCTAAATAAAGTATATTAAAAAAATTCAGTTAGAATATTTGTTTCGTTTTATACATAAAGTACAATACACTATATTACAATAAAATGTATGAAACTATTTTATTTTTATAATTAAAACTGGCTTCCTTTTAGTGTGATTCTCTAAATATAAGACAGTAAAAAGTACAATATTCTTGGCATGTTGTTGGAAGTTAAAAGGAGACGCGTCAGTTAAATTCAGTCTTAAGATAAAGAATATACCCACTTTTATTAGAAAAAAACATAATTCTGCAATCTAAGGCCGTATACAGCAAGAAAGCTGGAAGCCGACCTTACCGGTAACCGGCGCAAGCATTTCTATGGACCAGCGCCGATAAGCGCCGACAAGTGCCGACACGCGCTGGTCAGCGCTGGCACCGCCCTTTGAAATTAATGAACAACTTCAATCTGCTTCCTGTATGTAACTGTTACCAGCGCTGATAAGCGCTGGTCGGCTACCAGTTTTCTTTCTGTATACGGCCTAATGATAAAGATGCACTGAAAAAGCTAAATATGATATTGATATGACTTCAACTTAAGAACATCGGCGATGGTAAATGCAAATATCATATAAATAGCTAAAAAGATTTCGTGTATTTACATCTTGGAACAATTTCTGTGATCTTTTGAATTGTTGTCTGCTCTCATGTGTCCTTCTAGGGGCAGGACGCAAAGCAGTCACAGATTCTTTTCGACGTACCGCCTCATGGACTGTCAAATCCTGCTTATAATGTTTTAAACAGTTTAGTATTATAGTTAGTGAACCGCGAGTTGTATTTTAACAACAGCAATTACAGTGTATTTCATCATAGAGTGGACCATTAAATAAAAAATATAAAAACTTTCACCCTATAAGAACATATCTGGCATTTTAGGGTGCCATGCCTAAAGGGCGACTGAAAATCCTTAAAACTAGAACGTCACAAAATCATATCAATAAAGGAAATAATTCAATAAAAAAAAAACATAACAAAAATAAAATAACATATAAAAAATAAAAGTAGTTTAATAGGTTAAGGTTATTTGAAATGTAACGTAATTTATAGTAATCATTAGTTTTTAAGTTTTTGTTATTTGAGTGTCCATCATTTTTTGATAATCTAAAAAAAAAGATATAAAATATTCGGACAAATGTCTGAAGAAAAGTTTGTAAGCAAAACAAAAAAAGAAACCCTAAAACTAAACCTCGACTGTTTGTCTGTCAGAGTGATGTATGTAGTGTACTGAGGTCATATACCGTAACAGGTAGACAGTTGAAATTTTCAAAATTAGCGGAGCTGTGATTGTACAATACGCGCCACGAAAGATGAAAGTTGACGAGTTGTTAGACACACAAATGTTTTTAATCTTCTACGATGGTAAGGAAGTCTCCGTATTCGAATCTGACTTTCAAATTGAAAAGTTTTGTCTGATATTCACACTATCCATACTTATATTATAAATACGAAAGTGTGTTTGTTTGTCTGTCTGTTACCTCTTCACGCTTAAACCACTAAACCGATTTCGATGAAGTTTAGTATAGAGATAGTTTGTGTCTCGGGATAGGACATAGGATAGTTATTATCCCAGTAATAATCTTTAAGGCAGGGTGAAAATAGGGGTGAAATTTGTATGGTAAATCCATTTTTCCACACAGACGAAGCCACTGACACCCACTAGTGAATGAATTAAATTAGAAGTTTTTCAAGTGAACAAAATAGGTTATATGTTGCATCTTAAAAGTTAGTTCTACCTAACTTTACCCTGCATACCTGCAATAGTAAAAACCTTAGGGGCAGTTACAGCATATTGACCACCATGCCGCTACATTACTCATGCAGCTATAAATTCTCGACAGTCAGATGTGCCCTTGTGAACTGTCAGTTGTAATAAATTCATGTAACTATAACATTATTGAATTTATGTATTAGGTGGCCCATGCTTCGCTTCATTGTAGACTATAGTCCATATTGTTCTCGGTCTTAAATAAACCACACATACACCTTCCGTGAAAAATTATCTAATTAATGACGAAAAGCCATTCAGTACTTTATGAAATCATCGGGATCATATAGACAAATGCGGCGGGTGTTCTATAGTGTTAAGTTTAATTTCATTGATACGTTTTACAATGACGCGTTTGCGAAACGCATTTACTGAAAAATCAGGCATGAAAATAATGATAGTCCAGTCAATACACGATTTCCTTAGCATTCTACCAAACAGCACCGATTACCACCAAACTTTGGACGTAGGTTCTACTTCATCATCATCATCATCAGCCTATTGATGTCCCCACTGCTGAGGCACAGGCCTTCCCTATGGATGGAATAGGTAGATTGGGCCATGACCCCCCAACGCAGGCCCAGTGCGGATTGGCTGGTGCTAACAACTGGAGATGCAGCCGGAACCAACAGCTTAACGTGCCTTCCGAAGCACGGAGGAAATCGAGATAGAAGATTTTTGGTCACCCATCCAATGACCGACCACTGCGAAAGTTGCTTAACTTCAACAATCGCAGCCGAACGCGCTAACCAACCGCGCCATCGAGCTCCTCGGCGAGGTTGTACTTACTATACTTAATACAAAATAGAGTCCGTAAATTTATAGGTAAACGGTGACCGTGAGAGGTGCGGGCGGCAGGCACATTCTTGTCAAAATTACAAGTGCCCGTAGCCCGCACCTCTCACGGTCACCGTTCTCGTCCTCCCGCACTCCCTGTATCCCACAGACGAGGACTCAGTTAGGCGGTCTACCTTTATTTGTTATGTTCGTTTTTTATAAGCTACAATTTTTACACAGAACGTTTTTTTTTGTAAATTACTTATTTTCAGAGTTTTCATGAAACTAAAACTCTGAAAATAAGTATTTAATTGGAAAACGTACTTTAATTTGACTTTAACAATCCCGAATAAGTCGAAATGTATGACTTTCAGTAAAAACACTAAAGAAAATAGTTGCTTAGAATTAGTGAAACTTTCCATTCCCATACTTACTTTTTATAAAAAAAACATGCTTAAGAAGGCGTGGCGTACATCCAAGGGAAATAGCAACCCAAAAATTTGTTTAACTACCGAACATTAACAAATTTGAAGTAAGTAGAACTCTAATTTATTTTGGTGT